TACAAAATAAACCTAGTAACCTAGTTTCTGACTCCACATGACCCAGTTTCTAAAGGGATGGTAAGCATGCTGACCAAGTTTAATTATGATTGAACCATATCTGTGGCCTCTTAGAGTGTTAAAACACTAAAAGTTGAGGACACCAGACTTGCGCACCGACAATAGCTTCGTGATCACAGCTCAGGTGAGCTAAAAACTTACAACACTTAAACTTCTTATTTTATTCTATCATTAAATTTACCACAAAAAGTCATTAAAAAGGACATTCTTCCTCCTCCTGCGGCCAAACCTGGACACCACTTTCACATTTATACCTGAAGTAGAGGGCATTTTTTTTTTAAGCCCAACAGGTAACTTCGTTTATTGTCCCCGTCATGGGTAAAATAGGGTCGGGGATCCATCCGCTATTTCACCTTACAAGTTTTCTAACAAACAATATATACACAATATGACAAGGACAACATAATTATGTAAATTATAAATTATAAGACTTCATGGGCTATGAAATTATGACATGCTACATAATAATGCAACAAGATTAGTAGATATAATATATATTGTTTCTTACTTATACAATGCATATGATAAAAGATATATATTAATATATTAATATAAATTCACATCGATTGAAAAAAACAACAACAAAAAAAACCCAAAAAATACAAATAAAAGAAAACAACGTTGTTCGTATAGAGGCCTGTATGTATGTTTCTTATTTAAGTTGTCTGATTATATTTTAAAAATCTTTTATGTTGTTATAATTTCCTTATCGGTATTCTGATATAAAATATAAGGTTACTCATCATCAAGGGATAATATTTGAATAAAATTTTGCCACAATTTATTAAAAGAAATCACATCTCCATTTAAAAAAGCTATATATTCTTGATTTTTTTATTTTCTTTTTAAGTATATTAAAAACATATTTATATTCAAGTAATTTTGACAATTTTCTCTAAATTTTGTTTTATAAACATAGTATTTTGCTAATAATGTTACAAAATTCAAAATAGAATGTTTTCCATAATACGAAAACAGTATGCCTTTCATGTCTGAAATATCAAATTCGACAAAACACTTATCTCTAAGCCAGGCTTTCAATTCTAAAAGAAACGTATTGGTATACGGGCATTGATAGAATAAATGTTCAATCGTTTCTCTATCAATGTTACAATATGAACATAAATCATTATCTCTAATATCTATTCGATGTAAAAATGTATTTGTTACAAGAATTTTTTGGACTAATCTTTTACTGAAAATCTTTCAATTTTATCTGTTTCACAGTATTTAAACTTGTACAATAATCTAAAAACTCCTTCTGTGATATAGGTCCTACAGAATTTACCCATTTGTTAGGAACAACTAGATTGTCAGCGTCAATAAGGATATCATAAAATAATCTGCAACCTTTACTATTATGTATAACACATTTAAGATAGGGATTTAACGAAATGTTTTGCTTGTATAAAAATACTTCATTTCTACTGTTCCTAATCTTTTCTCTCCATAAAAAAGGGATGGACTCAATGACTTGTTGAATATCTAAAAATGTACCTCTTTATCTTATATATATCTTTCAATTTTTGAATACTGTAAATATTGCCGTCATTGTCGTATAAAAAGTAGAGGGCATTTTTATTATCTTTAAGGTTTTAAACTTTATTAAGGTTCATTTAAATTGGACCAAAAATGTTCTAAGATTTGACCTAGTGACTTAATTTTTGACCCCTCATGACCTAATTTCGAACATGTTCTAGATTTTATAGAGATGAACATTTACACTAGGTTTCATAAAGAATGGGCCAAAAATGTGGCCTCTAATGTGTTCACATTCTTTTTCTAAGATTTGACCTAGTGACATAGTTTTTGACCCCACATGGCCCAGCTTTGAACTTTGCCGAGATTTCAGCCATACATTATGACCAAGTTTCATGAAGAAACGACAATTATAGCTCACCATGAACACAATTTAGCTACAAAAAGAACTGACAAAATTTTCTTAAGCTGGGTTGCATGGTGTACTCACAATCTGGTGCTAGTAGTCTATCAAACCAATCTTGCAATTATGGTGGGTAATCACGTGATATGGAGACCACATGACATGGTATTACAGCAATCGATAATCTTTCAGATTCAGGTGTCCACGTGAGAAATCTTTGTCAATATCTTTTGTTTAACAGAAAATATTTTGTTGAGAGCATGCAGAGTATGCGTAACTGACAGGACTTGCAGTTGCTACCGAGTGACATTATAAACAATATTGTACTTTTTCAGGAGAATCCACCAATTTTAAGTTTAAAGGAACATAATGCTTTTGTGAGTAAAATTTCCATTACTGAAGAAACAAATCATACTTATCCTCTTATTGAAGAAAATGACTCATTTACCCATTACTATTCTTCAGAAATTATTTTTTCATCCAAACATACCTCCAATTATTACATTTGCGCTACATGGGCGCAATATATTTATCGCGTATTTCGAAGATTTTCTTTCATGTCTTTATTAAATCAAATGCAAATTTGTATGCCCCCGCAAAGTGGGAGCATATAGCGTTGCACTTGTCCATCCGTCCGTCTGTCCGTCCGTACGTCCCGAAATCTTGTGAGCGCAACTTCTCTTAAACCGGATGGCAGATTTTGCTTAAACTTCCATGGATGAACAACCTTATATAATGTGTAGATGGTAGTAAAGGAAGGAATTTTCATCTTGTGGCACATGTAGTCCAAAAAATATTTGACATAGAGTCATAAGATTGACAGAACAGTGGCGTGTGGGGGCATCCGTGTCCTATGGACACATTTCTAGTTACATCAGAATTCTACTTGATGTTATTGAAGTGAATACTCTTTCATTTCAAATAAAAGTTACAAATGCATAATAGGACCAAGTTACGTGGTCACCATATCAATGATTTCCCACCATGTCAATGATAAAATACGCATATTTAGACCACAGAAGTGCAATACCCCTTATGTTTTGTATGGCTTTCAGAAAAAAAAAGTTTTTCTGGCCTCAGACTCATTTAATGTTGGGGCAATCATACGTCATTGTGCCAGAATACCTTTTTCGAAGATCGTGTCTTGGCCGCCTTTGCATCAAAAATGAAAGTACACATGTATAAACGGATGCGTTCGTATGGAGAATTTTCATTGGTCGTGTGAAACCCTTAGACTAATGCAGATTCTTTAATTGCATAACGATTTGGAATTTGACATATCGGAAAAACGAATTGTTATGGTTTTATAATATGATGTTTTGATTGAACCACAGGCACTAGACACAATTAATTTACCTCTTTATGCTCATAATACTATATATAAAGAATATTCTTTATATATAGTATTATGAGCATATAGAGGTAAATTAATTGTGTCTAGTGCCTGTGAGTTACACTTGTGGTGACTTCGAGATTGCATATCTTCTTATAACTTAAAAACACTTCAAAAACACTAATAAAAATATCGCCGTCGTCTCTAGACCTTTCGCGGTTACTCCCCTTTTTTATTTTCTGGCGTCAAAATTCCCGAGTCCCGGGATGTAAAAACCCGGATTCCATAAGTTTGTCAAATTCCCGCCTGTCAGGAATGGTTTTTTGTCTAAAGCCCCGTATATGCCCGCCGCCCCCTCCCCCCGGACGGGCAAAATATTGACAGGTGCATTACATGTATATAAGATGTTTATGGAAATTAATACATACCCGCCAATGTATATATTCACTTTTAAAACGGACTTTCCTTTCAGAGACACTTGGATTGTAGAAATCACCCTTTCCCCCTGCATATTGAAAACTAAACCAAAATTGTCTGAATTTTTTGTTTATGTTAGTATGACATGGTCTAACGCCGTGAACATGATTGAAAAGAATTTTATATCGTTTTTAAAAAAGTCACTTTTTACCCTTGGTTTGATTTCCTATCTTCGAAATGTAAACATATCTGACCTCCATGAATTTCAAGCATTTTTGTTATCGCATGCCATTTCTTTCTGGTGTCAATCAGTCGAGGTATTCTTCTAATAAATAAATATATCTTACTATCCGATCGTTGCTTTCTTCCAAGCTTTACACATTAAATAACATTTTCCACACCATGTCATAATTATGTGTGTGGCGCCGTTATATGTCGCAACGCCGCTAAATGTCGCACTTACCGCTAAATGTCGCACCATTGCCGCTAAATGTCGCAACCACCGCTAAATGTCCCAAAATCATTTGCCGCTAAATGTCGCAATGTTAACGTTAAATGTCGTACGAATTTCCCCTACCGTTAAATGTCGCAACACTGCCGTTAAATGTCGCAAGATGTAAATTCATGTTAAAATCATGATTAAAGTAGTATTATTTTACTTTTTAACGCTCTCATAGTTATTTTTTACTGTAATTGCCATTTAACAAAAAGTATCTTTGTTTTAATTGTTTTCTTTTATGAACCTAAATATCGAGGTTTTGAGCTGCTACATAATTTAATCTTGACGCTAGAAAGCGTATTCTAGAAAGATACAATTGAAATTCAATTCTCAATAGATAAGTATTTTTCTTTTGTCTCCCTTTTTCATTTATAACCCTGATTGGCAACATCTTAAAGGTATTATGATATTGTCGCTATCAGAATTCGGTTTAAGTCATTTCATTGATTTAAAGACCTTTTTTGTTGCTAGTGCTAATAGTTATACAGTCGTAAACGGGCGGTTTAAGCCCCATTTACACAGTCCCGGTTTGGTGTCCCGGTTTGCCACGGTTTAGTCAACCGGGATCAACCGTGGTAAACCGGCGTTGGGCCGTTGCGATTCCGTGAAGTAAAGGGACAATCCATGGTGAACCGGAACAAACTGAGAGATCGCCACGGTTGTATTTAAATGTTTAATACAACCGGGGCTCACCGGCATTCACCGGGAGGAAGCCCAAAACCGTGTTCTATCGGCTTGGAACAGGGAATTGCCGGGAAACCACCGTATCTATACCGCATCCATACCGTGACAAATCGTAGTAAACCGGGATGCGTGTCAATCAATGTCCAAACGGCAAAGCCTCGGTGATGATACGATGTTGCCACGGTGAAACAGGCAGAGCTACGATAGAGCCAGTGTACATTGAGGTCATAGGCAACAACGCTCCGGTTGGAGCCGGTAATGTCCCGGATATTGCCGACAAGTATGGTTATACAACGGTGTTAGACGGTGGTGTAACGACCTCATGCCGATAACAGGAAATTTAAAGAACAGGAATATATAAACTTGAAGTATGCAATATTCAATAAATTTAATTTTTGGTCTATATCCAATATTTATATTGTATAACTCTAATTTTATATGCTTTACCATTATATTTATTCTATCCTACTAAAAATATTTGTTCATCTAAAAATATTTGTGTGCGATAATTTTCTATATATATGTTCTATATTTGAAAATATATATTGTATAATTTAAAATATTGATTGGATACAGTACTGAAAAATATTTATTCGATAATTTGAATCATAGGATAGAACACTTAGCTTATTAAGCCCCGCCTATAAAGTAAGCACGAATGTCTGATAAAGCGTTATCATCCTGATTGACTATAGTGTAGTGGAAATGATCAGTGTCCCTGTGAATGTCAATGTAAATAGTGCATATGCTTAATCCTCCTTATAAATATATATGTATGTCTAAAAATGGAAAAATATTTTAAAGTCTTCAGGACATACGAAAGGTGATAAAAAATAAACCGGACTGGGGCTGTCAATTGAAGAATTTTCAAACTATCACTTATTGCTATATATCACAATGAATCGGAAAACTTTTTACCTAGTAAATCACTAGTCTGGTTCCCAGCTTCTATTGTAAACAAATAGAAGTCTGGCATTGACGAAACAATGGCCGACGCGATGATAGCTGTCATAGGAACTCTGGCACAGGACCGCATATTGCGGCGCATAAATCCGAATCCGTACCGGCTTTACACTTAGTTTGTCCGACCTTTGAATATCTTTTCATATTATGCGAGCGGGTGGTCTTTAATTATCTAATCTCAATTTAATATAATCTGCTAATTTAAAAATCAGTCAAATATACGGTATATTGAAAAAAGAAAAGGAGTGACATCCGCCATTTGCCGCAACGTGGCGTAAGTTATCCCCCTTGATATGCTTGATTTTTGTTTAAATTTTTCTAGTAATGAATACCAGATGAGTGCCTAAAATATTTATCTATGGATCGTGTTTTAATATTCCTTTTTTCAGTTAGGCAAAACCAGTTTGACCATATTACTAAAGTGTCTGTTTTCTCCATGTTAACAAATCAAAACGCGAATACACCCGATATAATGCCGCCTATACATGTCAACACGTGTAAACAATAAACCGTTAACGTTATATCCGGACGATACCTCATAGTTGACAAAAATAACGGGAACAAAATTCTGAAAAAATAGTAATCAATTGTAGCCAAAGGGGGAAAACTCATGCCGAAAACGTTGCGGCAAATGGCGGATGTCACTCCTTGTCTTTTTGGCTTGCAGCCACGGCTGCAAGCCATTTCATATGGAAAACCTGTTCCGGTTAGGTGGTTTCCTGCTTACATCTGTTGGTGCATGATTGAACGGGTAACCAGCTGGAATCGTGCCAATCGCAACCTTTCGGCCTTTTCCGTCACTCTTCGGATTAATGATAATAGCCGATGTAGTTCCGATTGCAATCATGACAATTCGGGCGATTCCGTCATACTAAGTAATATAACGGAAATCTAAGCTATTTTAGTTACTTCGGTAACACAGACATTTGGGGTTTGGAGCTCAAAACGCCTTTAAAATCCAAATAAAATGCATATTTGTCAATCCCAGCACATGTACTGATCATATATATCAAAAAAACTTAATATAAGCCGTTTTGAAAAAATTTCATATTTCAACATCTATAATAATACACAAGATAAAAATGTTCGCCGGAAAAAATCCGCACCCCTACCGTCATAATCACCATGTATTTTATTCCATTTCCAATATTTTCACATAATCCTTTGGTCCATCGACACAGAAGATATAATTCTTCACGATAATGGTCAATTTTAAACTTCAACGGTAATATAAACAACGCAACAGCCGAAATAAACATCAATATTATCGCCGTTTTTTTCCAACGACAAAATCTTTCGATAAATTCAATGGACCAGACGGCTATGAACGAAACTATCCGATTATGTGGCCCCAGCTTTGCCGTGTGCAAAATGCGCAGCGCTTTTAAGTTTGGGAAACCACATAATCGGATAGCTTCGTTCATAGCCGTCTGGTCCATTGAATTTATCGAAAGATTTTGTCGTTGGAAAAAAACGGCGATAATATTGATGTTTATTTCGGCTGTTGCGTTGTTTATATTACCGTTGAAGTTTAAAATTGACCATTATCGTGAAGAATTATATCTTCTGTGTCGATGGACCAAAGGATTATGTGAAAATATTGGAAATGGAATAAAATACATGGTGATTATGACGGTAGGGGTGCGGATTTTTTCCGGCGAACATTTTTATCTTGTGTATTATTATAGATGTTGAAATATGAAATTTTTTCAAAACGGCTTATATTAAGTTTTTTTGATATATATGATCAGTACATGTGCTGGGATTGACAAATATGCATTTTATTTGGATTTTAAAGGCGTTTTGAGCTCCAAACCCCAAATGTCTGTGTTCGGTAATCCCAGTTTGTTTATATAAATAGGATTTCTATTTTTACTTGATTACCGTAATAAATTATAAACGAAATTGTTCCGTTTCAATTGTTTTTCAAGACGCAAAAGTTAGTTTCTTTTATAATTGTTTTTTGTCTGTATCAGTTTTATACAATAGAGAATGGTAGTAGTATTCCGTCTTCAAAGGGTGGTCCTCCATGATCGAGTTATATTTAGATCTACTGAACTGGTGAGGTAATCTAAAAATAGCCCATGCATATCATTAACCTTGCCACATAGCGCATCGTCTATTTGTGATCGTGTAACATATAGTTGATACATGCTTCTTAATTAGTGCATTTACTTGTCTATAAAGCAAAGGAATGATTTCGCTGCGAAAAAGGAGAAATGAAATGTGCACACTTGTTTTCCTTCAGACTTCAGTATCACGTTAGTATTTTTACGATTGATCATTTTCTTAATTAGTTTTATACAATAGAGATAAGATAACTAAATAAACCCTTTATGATATACAAATACCGTAATTAAAAAAAAAATGTGATAATAAATTGAAACAAAAAAAAAACAATTTTAAAGGGTTGGGATGAAGGCACAACTGTGCAAGCCTTTCCTTTTAAAAGGAAACTTTATTTTATAATACCGTAAAATTTGACCAGTTTTTAAAGAGACAGATTGGGTTCAATTGATAATATATTTTTTGAGTCCATACACTCGGACAATACTAAAAAGATATTTAGATGTAGCAGAAACGTTTTTAAGAACCGTTACACGATCGAAAATATACGCCGCAATCTGCGGTCCCGTTCTCGAGTTCCTATGACAGCTGTAAGTTAACCAAATATTTTTAAAAAGTGGTTCATCGGGATATTGTTGAATTTTTAATCGATATGTATATATAAAATTCTTAAAAATAACGTTTATTTTCGTGGAGCATTTTCACATGTTATTTTTTTTTAAACTTCAATAAGTTGAGTACTTTTCGGACAAATACGAAGATTGTGATATTTCGGATATGAAATCATAAGTTTTCTTGTAAAATGATTTTGTTTTGTATTGTGATCAATACGAATGTGTGTTGGCAATATCCCGGCAAACGTCCCACCACCAACATTAAGTCTGATATGGTTTGCGTCAAACTTACAGAAAATACGGAATAAATGCTTATTCAGTTTTGATACATTGATAATATTGTAATGTTAACATTCATTCTGTAGAACAGTTTTACAATCAAAGCACAGAAGGCGCTGAATTTGTTTGGGTCTCAGAATGTAAGAAAGGTGCATGTTGTGAGATTATATGTTTAGTGCCACCAATGCTTTCCAGCGTTTTAATTGTAGTAAATTGGCTATAAGACTAATTGCAACACTGATATTCAATCCAATGTTTATTTGACTTTAACAATTTAAAAAAATGAGTTACCTTTACTGGGATTTGAACTCCAGACATCTCGCTTCCTAAGCGAGCCCGAAAACCCTTCAGCCACGGTTAAATTTATATGTGAACGGCCTGAAGAAAACCATATTATTCTAAATTAGGGCTTGTAACGACTTTTAACTTTTGTTTAACACAGATGTAAATAATCCTGAAGCTTACTATAAGCATGTATATTTATAAAGAATCAAAGGGCTACAAGTTCTTTGGTATTTTCTGATCTTTGCAATCTAAATCGTACTGTATATCTGTATGCATTTTCCTGTATAAGTTTATTTTTATGTATTATAATTCATTTTGTAAGGCACATACGGAATTCTGCATAACTAGAGTTGCATCAAAAAATCATTTATGTACTTTTTTTACGACAGCCACACTTTATCCTTGTAAATCATGGCTACTTCCTTAACAAAAACAATTAAAAAAAGAATTTAACAAAAAAAAAATTTCCTCGACTGGGATTCGAACTCGAGACCTCTCACTCTCTAAGCGAGCGCGTTACCAATGTACCACGGAGAAGTTATATAGGAATGTCTGAATAATATCAAGTCATTCTAAATTTAGAACTTCCATTGCATTCAGGTTTGTAATCCTTATTAATTTCGAGGTATTTTGTTCAGGGTAAACCTGTTGTTTAAAATTGAAGTAAATATTTTAGCGAAAATCCTCTCGCCCAAACAGTCCGACATGTAGAATCTATATATTCCACTACTCGGTTTGTGTAGTATTCGGTAATCTACATGGCTAAAAATAGTATTTTCATTGATAAAATCATATTCATCCGCGTAATTTGTGATTGTGCATTTATTGACAATTCTATAAGCCAACACTATTGTTTAACTTTAAATGCGTTGTAATTTGTTGGATACTTGTAACAAAATAAAATATTTCTTTCTTTTAAATCGCTAGTTTTCAGCTGTTTTGAGAACTACTTGTTGTTAGGTTTGTCATAAACTTCTGTGTCAGAGATTGAATGTCCGCTTTGTATTTAGTTATTTTCGATCAGAAAATACCAGAAAACAATATTAGAAATCTTCGACCATTCGGGAATTACTTTGCTTAAAAATTGATGCGCCTGTCTTTGACCATCTTTACGCAGTGATCTCCCCTGAATTTTTCGGCTTTAGTGTACATACAAAAGGGAAGTAACCGCTTCAAAAAAGTGGACTACTTTCGGCATTTGCAATTAAGAACATTAGACTCTGAAATTTCGCTACCATTATTTGTTTGGTCTGACGACCCAAACAAATAAAAGTTGCCAGGACTATGCCAATTATTAACTTGATTTGTTTGAGCCATTCCTACCCACCTCACTAGCGGATCCAGGGTGGGGGGGGGCACACCCGGCGCACGCCCCCCCCCCCCTAATGGCCGCAGACTTATGATTTTTTATGCCCAAAAACGCTAATTTTTCTCAATTTTTCCTCGCTCGCGCATCATTTTAAGCTTTATTATAATAGAAATGTGGCCCAAACGGCACCAAAACACGCTTAAAATAACTTACTGCAATACTGTCAACTTTTAACACTTTCAATGATTTACCTAAGGCCAAATCCTGGATCCGCCACTGCACCTCACACACATTTATGAACATAGAAATGGATATTAATTTTAATTCAATAGAAGCTGATTGTTAGTATTTATACATGTATAGAATGTGGTACCCCCACCAATCTAATTAAAAATGACCTGGCTTTTTTATGTTTATAATAAAAGTGTCATGTCTTTTTTCTGTTTTCAGGATATAAGTAGCCAGTCAATCACAGATGCTTTGCATAACTACTCTACAGAGTTCAATTGCAAAATAACAGAAATTAAACCGCTACAACTGCAAGCAATACAAACATTATTATCTAAAAAAGACTGCATCTGTGCACTTCCAACTGGTTATGGAAAATGGTTAATATATGAAATTCTGCCGTTTTTTGTTCCAAAGTGTCTTGTTATTGTTATTGTGCCTTTAAACGCTATAATTGAACAGCAAACGGTGAAACTCAGTGGACAATCATTTTCCTTGTCAATGAATATAGACACTACTGACTTATTAAATACCAAATCTTTTTTCTTTCACCCAGAAACTGTTTTAAACTCTCCTGAAGTAAACAAACTTTTTCGCTCATCTCAATTTCAAGAGTATGACAAGTTTCTTGTAATAGATGAGGCTCATTGTGTCATTGAATGGGGCAAAGAATTCAGGAAGGACTTTAAAAGAATATACCAACTGAAGTCTCTTGTAAGTTGCCCAATTCTTGCATTGTCAGCAACAATAACTAGAGCCGGGCAAAAAGAAATAGCTAAATGTCTTCATATGACAAACTTTGAAGTTGTATGTGCTAGCCCTGCAAAAGACAATATTAAAGTGATTGTCAAGAATCGTCCGAGTCCAAACTCGAAGGGAAATACATCCTTGACGCCATACGATTATATATTTGTACCAGTTTTACAACAACTTAAGAGTGAACTTGATAACTTTGGGATAACCATAATATATTGCAAGACTATGAACTGGATAGGTTATGGATATGAATTAGGAAAGGAAATACTTGGTGATGAATTCTACTCAGGAGCGCCATCAGAGAAAACAACTAGAGTTGTTATGTATCATTCATCTATGGAGGGCCCACAAACTTTAATTATTTTGGTACTATGCCACTTAACTTTTTCTGATATGTTGGAGTTTTAAAAATAAAAACAAATCCAATGTTTTAAGACGTATCTTATTAAATACTTCACTGATTTATACCAGATAAAGGGGAATGTCCATTTAAGAGACATTTTTTTCTAGTTTATTCAATCCAATTTTTTGATTAGTCAATAGTTTGTGGCATTGGGCTCTTAACACAATGTCTGAAGGCAACAAAACATAGTTGTAACACAATTTACTTTTTGGCTTGTCTGTTCATTAGCCAAAGTCATTGCAATGATCTTCTGAACTAAAGACAGCTCTTGGTATCTGGTTTTCATCAGCATTCCAAACACAGTTGATAAAACTGGTATAAGTTTATGAACACTGTTGGTATTCCCTATTTTTGATGTTGGTAGTGACACTGCCAAGAGAACATCAGCTAGCAATGGTTGTTGTTCAAGAAGTTCACCAATGAGTTCATGCCAGTTAAAATCAGTCAAGTCACAGAATTCCTTTTGGGCCAAAACACTTTCCTTGTTGCAGCATTCTTTTGCTGCAAATTCAATTTCATTCAGAAGTTCCACAATAATACTTCCTCGCAAGGGTGACGACAACAGGTGGGCTGCAACTTCATGTGAAGAGCTGGAACCTGGAAAATGTTGTTTAATACAGCAATGAAATGCACATCTGACACCTTAACTTAATAAATCTTTTATTTCAGTAATAACTCGAGTTTACAGATCAGCTGAGTATTTGCGTAAATATCCAATTAAAATAGCTAAAAAAGCTCTTTTTTAAATCGACTCGACATGTTTCTTTGAAACAGATGTGTCCCCTGACATTGCATAGAAGTTGACAAAGTTATGCTCAAAGAAGAAGAATTTAAAACAGAACAAAGTAGAGTTACAGTTCTTGTGCACTGCAAATGTCAATGAAAGCTAGAGATTTCTAACATTTTCTAATCAATAATGTCAATTTATTATCCCATTTTTTACTCCTTATCTTTAAAATAATTATGCTGTGATACCAAAAAAGAATTGACTTCAGTCGATATAAATTATAACAAGAACTATCACTAAAGATGATTAATACCCCCACAACGCACATTTGTCACAGTATACACAGCCAAGATGGAAGTTATAAGCAGTTTCACAAAATTTGGCTAAGTTCAAGAGCACATAACTATGCCAACCTGGATTGATTGCATATCTGCACATCAGTGTGATAACATTCCAAGTTTCAAATGAATCACTCAAGAAATGTGGAAGTAGTTTGCGCCACAAGAATGTTCGTATATATGCGGACGGACCAATAGCCCGCCCGACTAACCAACCGACTGACGTGATGTCTCCAATATACCCCCCCTCAAACTTTTGTTTGTGGGGGTATAAATATATCATTGCATAATTTGTATTCGGCTTAGTATTATATTTTAATATTATTATTTGTTAATTAAATTAAAATAATACTCACATAATTTTTTTATGATCTCATGTATGTCCTCTTCCTTTAGCTCTGAATAGGTCCTTAGACGTCTCAGTGCAGCAGTATTTAACGTCTCAGCACACTTGCTCTTTGTCTGAAATGACCATTATCAATATCAAATGGTAGTTTAAAGCAACATGAAATTTTTGTTTTGTTTTTTTACAAAAAGCAATAAGAGTGGTCCTCAAAGTACCATGCTCATTCTGTTTTTCTCAGTTTGTCTCGAAAGCTTATAACATTCAAGGTTGCAAAACTTCTCAACATACATGTAGGTAATAATCGTTAATAAAATAAACTTTATATAGAACAAGATGTGTTTGTGAAACACAATGCCCCAAGCAGTTACAAGCCAAAGTCGATTTTGCTCATATTTTTCTATCAAGGTCAAGGTTCTTTGAAAGTCAAGGACAAAAACAATGTATTAGCTGTACTGTATATGTTGACAATAGTCATGCCAAGCAAGTTTATGAGCATGGTCCATAATGTATTTATAATATAGCTGAAGAAAAATAGAGCCTAGAAAAATCAGACTTAATAGGACCAGACTAATGTTAGCAAAGCTTCAAAACATTGTTTACCTGTTCTGTTTTTTCCACCAAACTTCTTGTTCATGGCTGTCGCACAATTGTTCCAGAAACTATTTTCAGATTCTCCTCTTGTTGACGCCTGGCTGTATTCCCTCAAGAAAGACTTCTCATCAGCCGACCATCTATTATGCTTGATTCGTTCATCCTAGGTTTATATAAAATACGACATGTACATTTAACAAGTATTCAATGTAAATATTGAAATTTTATGGTTTATAAGATTCTGTAAAACATAAAGGAGCATGGTCTTGTCTTGAATAAAAGAATAACTCAAAGTTATAAAAACTATTTGAGTTAAACTTATTAACCAAATCCATATCCATATCAATATGATATATATCTATCTGTATCAAGTATATATATTGATTAATAAAATAGAAGGTAGTAGTATAGTAAATCTATAATGGTATAACAAACTTACATAGATGTTCAAGTTCTTTGGATACTTTGACACACGGATGTAATCAGATAGATTAATCTGAGCAGTTTATTGCTTGTCCATTCAACAGGAAACCAGGATGTGGACTGAGGGAATACTGGGACGTCCCATCTCACCAAGGTCAAACACCACTATATTTTGGTTAGGTCAGTGACCACCACACTCCTCCCCGTCCTATTTGAAAAGGCTGGCTGCCAGATAAGACCTTTATAGTATCTAATCCAGCACTCAATACGAGCCTATTGAATGATTTCCTGGATCCTTACCAGTACTGGTACTGTACCCTGCTCTAGTACATGTACCAAATAGGTGATTATCATAAACCAATCACCTGAGCAGCTCAGCTATGACTTGATCAGCTGAGCAGCCCCACTAGGACTTACTCAATTACCTGAGCAGCCGACTATGCAGAATTCTACGACTCACTCAATCACCTAAGCAGCCCACTATGCAGAATTCTACGACTCACTCATTAACCTGAGCAGCCCACAAGAATTTATTAGAATGAATTGTCACCAGTAGCACCCTGAGAAGAATTAACCAACATTAGTCTCTAACAATCACCAACAAACATAAAACCTCCTTCAGGTCTAATTGATTCACTGAAGACTTATCTCTTACTACTGCCAAAACACTCTAACCCACTCATGCACTGGTTCACACTCAGATGCAAGGATATGCAGCTTATATCTAGAGACTACCGCAACACCTATCACATCTACCAGCTTAACAGCATGAGCATCCTAGGATTATACCCAATCCCTCAATATAAGACCTTATCTGGACAATAAACGATCCAAACTCAGATTTATATTCAATAACCAACAAGAAGTAACCTTCACCCACAAGCTGTGAAACCACATTAAATAACCACAATGAATCATAAATCTCCAGTCTTATATTCTTACCTCCCAAAAAGACAACACATTTCCTTTGATAACTGTTATAGCTCTGACATCATTTCAAGAGCTCAACCTAACAGATAACATCATGACAATTACTACTTCAGTTCTGCAATATGCTCATTCTATTTCTGCCATAAGAAACCCCCAACCACGCAATCCAATATTGTACTAACATTTGTAATGATCACTATTAACAGATGCCTGCATCCAAATAGATCCCATACAAACTGTCATATAAATTGCCTGTCGGCCTAACAAGCAACCTACCAAATGACATTATAGGTCATCTAGCTTAGAAGAGACGGGAACTGCGTGCTTGGTGACCCCCTACATAGCAGTGAACTTAACTGACCAGATGCAACTTGCTTGTCTATATGGGAGCTAACCCTCTCTTAATGGTGACTATATTGTTACCAAACATCTCAGTTCTGGGACTCAGATTTCTGAAAATAACACCAGAATGGACTCTAGGGCCTTTTGAAACATAATCACCAATAAGCACGCAACTCATTATTACTAAGATGATTCCTAGATAATGAGCTTACACTCCTTGGATTCGTTCCCAAGGTTCCTAATTACCAAGACTGATTGTAACACACTCAATGACAGATGCGATTTTAACCTGAAACCCGTAGATTTTGGTTCCTTCCCTGGCAGGCTTCCCAAGACCCTTAGTGACCCAAGTGATCTTTTACTTGCCAATAGCACCACATCTACATCGTCAATAAAGGATCCCCAAATTCATGGGCCATCATATACTAATTGACACCTACCGCAAGGCAATTTACCCCAAATCGATTTCCCACATGGTACCAGACATTACATCATTTTACCATGATTACGATTTGTTCTGGGTCCCAAATCGATTTCCCACATGGTACTAGACATTACATCATTTTACCATGATTACGATTTGATCTGTGCTGCAGCAACTTACACCGGGATAGATCCTTCAACCATCCCGCCAAATTACCTTGTGGCTCCCAAAACCAATAAACCACCTTATATGAGTGATCAGTCTATGGTATGCAATCAACTAAACTACCAGATAAATTAAATTACCCCATGGTAGTTCTTCTCTGATTAACCACCAGATAAATTTAATTACCCCAATGGCGGTTCCTATCTGCAGCTACCCTCACCCCCACCAGTACTAACTGGTAAGAGGCAGGGCAGGCTTTTATTCCCCAAGACTTATTCCAACTACAAGGAATTTCCCTCAAGTTGATTTCCTACATGGCAGTCCCTGGATCCAAACACCATGTTTACAACCTGATTTTCCCCCAGATCGATATCCTACATTTTATTCTATCCCATTCCCTTCCCCATTTGGGATTAGAAGAACCCACATATTAGAATAAACATGATATCGACCCAACCTTGTAGCCTTAAAACACCTAAAAGCATTTTATTAAACTTTTAGGGCTACCCTTTGACCTAAGCCTAATCAACTGTGAAAGCCTTCTCAAACTTATCTTCAAGTTCCTCAATAGCCTCTATCACAGTTTCCCAAGTCACAGAAGAGTTATCTTCATCAGAATGAACTTCATAACTATCAGTAACTGACTGAAGAACCCTCTTTCCTTCACACCTTTCACTGCGTTTGCTCCTACCAAAAAATGGCCTCATGGCTCTGTTGGTACTTACGGACCAATAATTTGGCTTGTTCGACCGTGGATGGATCATGCATGTAAACATGGAACCCAGCTTGTTGGTCTAATAAAACCATGGCAAAACCTACTTATAACCTGACTTGTTATAAATTGGGCACATACCCCCTGAAAGGCTTTATCGGCTAAGGCACGTAACCTGTCTGCAAAATCATCAAGAGATTCGCCCGGGTTTTGAAAAGCTTGATAAAATTGCCCTTGAGCTGCCTCTGGTGAGATTTGGTCACCAAAACCGAGCCTCCAGTTTTATCGTATAAAGAAGCATACGATTGCACTTCACCACTATTATGTAAAATTACATAATAATCCTAAAGCTTTGCCCTCTAACGTCAAGCACAACGCACACAGTTTATTCTCATTTGACCACTGGCACATCTCAGCATATCTGGAAAACTTAAAAATGAAAGCTTCCCAACTGCAATTGCCATCAAATGTTAAATTCGTGGGCATTTTATCTAACGATAGTCTTGACCTGGCTGTTACAGGATAAACTGGTTCCCATCCCCCATGAGATAATGGCTCAAACTCATTATCCCCCAATGAGGTGGGTCCCCTGTTTCTTTCCATAGAGACCGCTCAGACGCCAAAATCAGCAGGGAATAGCCTTGGGAACCCTAGGCGTGGTAAACATATGCCCATTATACCCCATGCTATCCCCACCCATCACAGGTCTACCTTCTCTATGCCCAAATACTGAAGTGCTTTTCACCCCAGCTGACCCTCTGGCCACAACGGGCTTTACTGCCCCAGGCTTTGGTTCCGAAAAGTCAAAAAATGACTGATCCAAGGACCTAAATGACTTATCCAAGGACCCTTCCCCTTTAGAAGCTACAGTATGATGCCCTAAAGCCTCCTGTTTCTTAGGGAATTCTTCCAAAACCTCATTTGGTGAAAAATCTATCATATCTAATTCCTCACCCGTAAACTTTTTACAACATATTGCAGACAATATGTCGGCTGTGATATCACCGCCAGCCCCCCTTATGGATAGGAGAATAGCAGCAACCCTCTTACTAACCCCCGGAATTTTAACCAACTCGTCCTCAAAAGCAAACTTAATCGCAATCTTAGATTTATTTGTGTGGGGGCCTTTTGTGTCCGCCCTATCCATCGCCATTGCCATATTTATAATTACTTATTACAATTTTTTTATTACAAATAATTAAAAATATCAGGCAATAATAGGTCATGCAAAGTACCACTTACCGTTACTGTAAACCAATTTCCGAAATAAAATTTATTTTATTCCACATGCCTGCACAATACTACAATATTGTGCCTTACAGTAACTATAATAAGCAATATTAAAAAAAAAATATCGCTCTTTGAATTATGCAATATAAAAAATATCACACCTCTTTCTGCCTGAAAATAAGCAATATTATGAAAATATCACTCTTAAAAAATCCTCTGCAATTTTCTTTCAAAAATAGCTAGGTTTGGAACAACAATAGAAGAAAAAAAATATGATACCGGTATCAAATATCCTAATTAGAAACCACAATGGTACAAAAACCTAAGTGGGGTCGAAGACTGGTTAGCGTCTTAAAAATACAGGCCGCAGCTAGAATTGAATCACCGCTGCCACCATTATAGTAAATCTATAATGGTATAACAAACTTACATAGATGTTCAAGTTCTTTGGATACTTTGACACACGGATGTAATCAGATAGATTAATCTGAGCAGTTTATTGCTTGTCCATTCAACAGGAAACCAGGATGTGGACTGAGGGAATACTGGGACGTCCCATCTCACCAAGGTCAAACACCACTATATTTTGGTTAGGTCAGTGACCACCACAGTAGTAAAAGAAAAATAATTTACCAGTTCAATCTGTTTATTTTCATGTTTAGGTGTCTTTCCTGTTGGAGTCGATAAGTTTCGTTTACTTCCCCGTTTCTGAGGGGTAGAGTCTTTGTGTCTGACATAGGAGTGGTCAGGTCCAGATCGCATTTCTATTACCTGGAAACCAGGCAGCCTATTTTGGGCTCTAATGTAGTTGTGATCCATCTGAAATTGAATAAAATTATGTTTAATTATTCAATATTGATGGGTGTTGAAATTCTCAGATTTCAGCTCGATACCTAGGTTTTCAGAATATTTTTTTTAAGAAGTTCAATGTATATTGGATATTTGTTAGAATGTACCTAAAATGTATTTTATTCTTAAAGAAACATGATCATTGATAATGCATTTATTATATGCAAGGACATAATTTACGCACAATGTACAGTAATTATCTACTTCAGTACAGTAAGATGCTGTCACAAGCCACGATAAGGATATATGAAGATAAAAGTTATCAATTAAATATATATTGTCCGAAATTACACTATGTGTAAATTTGTCCGAAAAATATTCAACTTGTCAGGAATGTAAAATCTGATCATAAGTAATAGCTCCATAAGAACACTTTACACGAATGAAAACTACACCATTGATATTGACCAGAAAGTCAATACTATCACAATGAACCACCTTTTGCTATTTGCTCGTAAAGTTACCGTTTCCATCGCCGCCGCCATTATTTGGTTTGTGCCTGACTCTTTGTTTAGACAAAGGGCAGGTAATCCAGACTAGTAAATCACTTACCGATCGCTTAACAGACTGGTCTGCAAATATATACCGACCTGTTTTTGTTCTATTGTTCTCTATACAATTGAAAATATGTGAAGTCGAGAAACTCGTGCATTACACAATACTCACCGTAAACGAAGAAATTTTGAAAATAACGCTGAATTGTGCAAATTTATATGGGGGGGGGTGGGGGTAATGACCAATTCGAAAAGGAAGAAGGGTCGATATATATTTTAATTATCAAATTTCATCAAATTAATAGAAATAAATTAGCGCATACGGCTGTAAGGACCCTCATAACATATATTCCAGATTATTTGTGAGAAAAAGGAACTGGCTACTGTTCGTAAAATCGTATATTTTAGTTATATTAGAAATAGCCGGATCATTTATTTATCATGAAATTTATTACATATAAAGATAAAGTGTTCCGTTTTTATGATTAGAAAATTTTATGATTAGAAAACATTTTTTATCTTCCTCAATATTAATATATATTATTAATATGTTATGTATTCATATATCAAAAAGATGATCTTACCTTTGCCTTCTCGACAAGTTCTGTCAACTTAACAAGTACATTACCTGACCTTATTACATAATGAAACCCCAAGAAAAACACGAGAACATTCAAATAACACCTGATTTGTGAACGAATGAATTACAAGAGCGTAGCGGGTGGTATCTTTGCATGACTTTAAAATGCTTTCTTAAACATGATATAGTACATAAATAATATGTTTCTTGTGAGTAATATATTAATAAATACTGAGTTAAAAACTGATGTATGGATAGAAAAACAATGTAGGTCTTCAAATCGTCACCGGATCAGTAAATACTATGCAGACCTATTCCTCGTACGGTAACTATTACATGCTATATCTAATTTGATATTGTACGTAACAGCGATTTAAAAAAAGCATGGCAACGCACACCGGCGCAGTATAAATTTGCACTGACAATAGGCGCTTTATGAAGCGTATATTTTAACAATATGACACAATTAGATTTCAAAATACGCCGAAACGTCATGAGCCATATTTGACGTTGTCAGAAAAATGACTTTAGTTATATCACATTTATCTGTGCAATCACAATTCATATGTCACTTGTAAAAGAAAAACTTGCGTTAAGGTTAAGATTAAGGTAGCCACAGCACAGTTTTTTTATTAAAATAACTGATTAAGAAAGGGTAATTGAGAAATTGAAAAAAAGAAAAATAAGGGAGAGGCAGAAAGAAGAAATTTTCAAGGACATTGGTGACGTCAATCGCCGAGAGAGACGTTGAAAAGTGACAGGCGATTGACTGAGGACATTATAAACTATGTTCGACAGTAATAATAATAATAATATCTTTATTTAAAGAAGGTTACACATTAAGAACATACAATAACAATCATATATATCTTATTTCCAATGTGGCCTTCTGAAACAGTAGCTACGGGACTGTGTAATCAATTCTTACTAAGGAATTTAAAAAATAAATATTAATGCAATTATTATCACACTGGCCATAGCTTTTGCAGAATCGGTCGCGATGGAGATTTCGTCGCTGAAGCGGTGGATAAAATATGGTCGTCATAGATGTATATGGTCTCGAAATAGTGTGGTCTCAAAGACTACTAATCAAGGAATAATTAGCCTAGAACATTTTTGGCATACTTTTAAAGATAAAGCATAGTGTTTTATGTGACATAAATCAATTCAACTTAAAAGACAAAATGTTCTAAGTCACATTGAACACTTTGATTTTAACAATTTTTGAAAAAAGTTACAAAGACTGTTCTCTCTCCAAATGTTTTCTTAGGTTTTTAAGCAAGGAAATATTAAAATCCACATATCTTTAACGATATTGAGTTGTTCTCCCGACACCACGTTTAGTAGTTTTTAAATTTTCAAAATCCGACAATAAATAAAAAAATATGCAATACTAAATCTTTTCAATTTTTTTTCCTCAAAAACAACAAAATGGCACTTAGAACAAAACGTATTAAATAAAAATCTTCTTGTTGGTATTTTTCGTTTCATATAGGGGATATATTCCGATTTATGTTCCATGTATTTTTATGTAAATGCATCTTACATGATATCCTCACATAGGTTCATATCGTGGTTAAATTATTAGGCATATGAAAAACCATTATTATACGAAGACTTTAAAATCTATTTCCATTTTTACATATACATTTATAAGGAGGATTAAGCATATGCACTATTTACAAGGGACGCTGATCATTTCCACTACACTATAGTCTAGTTTAATCGTGCTTACTTTATAGGCGGGGCTTAGTATGCTAAGTGTTCTATCCCATGATTCAAATTATCGAATAAATATTTTTCAGTAGATAAATATTTTAATTATACAATATATTTTCAAATATAGAACATACATATAGAAAATTATCGCACACAAATATTTTAATGATGAATAAATATTATGGTGTAGAATATAAAATAAGAGTTATACAATATAGATATTGGATATAGGACAAAAATTTAATTTATTGAATATTGCAACGTTTAACATGCCATACTACGTAAACAGAATAAAATGTTCCAGAACAAAATATTAGTTTGCTATTTTAAGTAGGGTTTTATCCTTTTAGCATTTTTTGTCCATGCGCCACTCTCTTTATGGCAATTTATTGTCAGTTTTATTTCATACAAGCATTTTGGAAGTATTCTTTTTTTTTTAAATCCAAACAATACTTTTTGCATTGGATATATAGCTTTATACACTTTAAGGACCCGAATGATTTGGTGCATATTGAATATTTTTATGGTTTCGAAGCCCGAGGGTAACTACTAGTGCCCTTCGGTCCGACTATACTGATCGTTGGCCTATCATTGGACTATATGCTTTCAATTCTTTCATTTACGACAACATAAGACACATGCCCTTGGCCTAGAAACACATATGCATTTTGTTTAACAATAAAAAACAGGGATAGAACCCCATATGTATCTCAAAAAATGAACATCGTTAAAAAGTATGTGTGAATTTCCGCTGCTCCAGATGTGAACCTTAACTTTTTAAACAGTTATATAAAATTCAATCATTTTTTTAAGAAAATCGAAATGTGATTCTACCCTCCTGACTCTCCTCTATATTACTCATTTTTGTTTTGATTTCTATGTAGTCTTCATTGAGATATTCTTTCCGTGTGTCCAAAACATGCAATGTGTATCACTAAACGGACTAAAAAATCCAGAGATTTTACAAAATCTCAATACAGAGCGATGCTTAACATTCAGACAAATCCTGATTTAAACATTTATTGAGATTTGGCTACTAACGAAGGAATCGCTGCTCAAAATTGCATTTGAGCTCCATATGTGTTGAGGAGATCCATATGCATATATAAAAATCGCACTATAATTACGGATCACTTTCATAAAGTGTAATCTCATTGTGTAATAAAAACTATTATCCAAAATAGACACATTTTCACGGACGATCTTGAATAACATAGTGTCCATATAGAAAGAGATAAAAGACATTCTGCATATGAAAGGCATTGAAAATACGTAGATATGGTGGGAAGGCCTTATTTATTTTGATTTATTGACGTCGTGTGTACTGCATTCATTCCCTTTTACGCCGTCATGCATTTATTAATTAACTAATTATTCACTCGACTGCACTGTCTGCTTAATAGGGGAGTAATGTGAAGCGTGTTTGAATTTGGTATGATGCAGTAAGAAAGTTAGTGATAAAAGATCAAAGAAACTTTGCATATTTATTTACCACATCAAGGCACGTCCTTGTATAATATCTATATGGTTCACTTCATGCCCATAGTCGCAATTATGAGTCAATGCCTATTTGACTTATTTTATGCCTGCTCTGTAACTCTTTGAATAGTTTTAAAGAATTTTTAACAAATCTTAAGGCCTCAACAGACGGTAGGATTTAGTTGTACAGCACGAATTAGAGATAAGATGTACAATTTCCAAAGCTATACAACACTTGCATTCAGACGGTAATTCTATACTGTAAAAATCTTCTGAGGTTTCCCCTGAAAAGGATCCCTTTACATTGATCCTTTATATACTTTACTCACTTAATACTTTTTTTCGCCATGAGTAATACCTCCATTTAAAAAAAAATATATATATTTTTTTTTAATGTGAAGCCTGACCGAGACTCAAACCTGGGACCCTCGGAATACGGTACTGCGGCTCTACTGACTAAGCTATGTGGCCGCCTACAAACTACCTCCCCTCCCCAAATTCATGTAATTAGAGAACAACTCAATACCGTGACATAATCATTTTCGGAATAATATGGGATTCGAACACAACACAACTTTGGGTCTCCTGATCTTACTGATCTGTTGAGGCCTTTAACCGCATTGAGCGGACATGCATCCTTTTTCCTAAATGTTATTTTGCGCTAGGAGGCACTTTCCTCTATTAAACTTTTCATAAAAAGCATAAATTGCAAAATTTTTCCATTTTAAATCCCCCAGGGAAAAAAACAATAACCTTAATTTAAAGACTTTTTGATAAAAAATTTAAAAACAATCTTTTGGCATGTTTATTTTAAAAAACCCGGGTGAAAGGGGGGGTTTAGGTTTAAAAATGGCGCGTCCAAATTTTTTACATTTTTCTTTTGGTTTTTTCCAAAATAATCAGAAAAAACCAAATACTTTTGAATTTTTTTTTGAAGAGAAACAAAATTAAAAATTTAAATTTTTTTTTTATTGAATTTCATTTTTGTTTATTATGCGGAAAAAAATTTTAAAGTATCGAACCTATTTTTTAGAAAGATTTTCCCGGGGCGGCATCTCGCGTTTTCCCTTTAAACAATTTTTTTCGGCCAATTTTCTTGAAGAAAAACTTTCGATTTTCCCCACCAGGGGCCTTTTATTTCACATAACAGTCTCGTCCTAAAAACTATAATTGTGAAAGGTAAAAGTGAAATTTTCCCCTTTTTTTATTCGCAATTTTTTTTGGGGGATTCT